TTTAGAATGTTTTCATTCTAAAGCAGTCACTCATCTTATCAGGCTCTACGTTGCTTAGTTTCGGTGAGTGTACGAGAACCTGTGTTTCAACGTAATATGGCCGTAACTCACTTGCACATAGAGTAAAGGGTCGTAATACATACATCAATTCTTTTTGTATTATTTAACCTTTTGTATGTTTCATTGAATGTTCTTTGCTCTCTTTGCAATTATTGGCCGTCCTGGGTAAGAGGATAAACTACATCCGGCAGTAAAATCTCTGATCAGGAGGTTTTGAGGAGCGTGAAGCCATTGCTTAGTTCCCAGGTCCATCCTGACACGTGGGAGTAGCACCGGTTAGGGTCTCAGCTATAGACGAATAGTTAACCCCAAAGCTGGGGTCAAAACACCCTGAAAGTGTAAAAATAGGTTTTAATACCAGTAATATATTTTGGAAAAAAATACCAGCAATACATTTTCGAAGAAATACATTATTACCAGCAGTATATTTTCGAAAAAGAAAAATATTACAAGCAATACGTTTTTGGAAAAAAATGTTAACAGCAACCCATTTTTGAAAAAAAAAATTACCATTACCAACAATCCATTTTTGAAGAAATGGATTATTACCAGCAGTACATTTTTGAAAAAGAGAAATATTACCAGCAATACGTTTTTGGAAATAATGTTAACAGCAATACTTTTCTGAAAAAAAAATTACCAGTAATACATTTTTGAAGAAAGAAATTATTACCAGCAGTACATTTTTGAAAAACAAAAATATTACCAGCAATACATTTTTGGAAAAAAAAAATGTAAACAGCAATACATTTTTAAAAAAAGAATATACCAGCAATACATTAAAAAAAAAAAAACAAACAAAAAACAAATATTACCAGTAATAAAAAAACTTGTCGGCATTAAATAACCTATTCAAGTTGTTATACCGTAAAATAAACCAAACCAAGCGAAAATGCACGTATTGGCTATCAAGCCACGCATTAATTGTTCTTATTCATTTTCACTTCCGCTTTAGCGGTCTTATCGCTTTGCGAGGGTATAAAGCTGCATCTCGCCCCCTTAGGTATCCAGTACTTTTGTGAGAGTTCATGCAGTGCCAAGTAAGCGACTACTTTTATAACACATAAAAACTCCTTGGTGAATTTAATGCTTTCAATCAATGGGCAACATTCTCTGGCACTCTTTGTAATGCTCCGATTAGAATAGAAATAACAATTACCTCTCGGCAAATTCTATATTCTCTTCATTTAGTACTTTTAACCTGTATCGTTGTCAATTTCCTAGTCATATCATTACTGAGTAAAACAATTATTAAGAAACAGGAAAATGTCGTTAGAAACAAAGAAAAGAATGCTGAACTGTTATGTAATATCGATCCTCATATATAAGAGTGAATATTCGATAATCTCTTCTCAGATGAGAAAGAGACGAGTTTGCATAAATGTGGTTCTACAGAAGGATACTGAGAGTACAATGGACGGAACATATGATCAACGAATTTTTAGGGGAAAGTGGAAAAAAGTACACTTATACTTAGAATCAGAAAGAGCCAGTTGAAATTTCTAGAGCACATCACGAGGAAAAGAGATTGAAAAATTTGACTCTGACAAGACATATTGAAGGCAAAAAGAACAGAATAATTTATATAAAGACTTTGTTCAAATTATTGACAGAGCAGGGATTAGAAGAATTGGTAAATTCCAAAATTTACTAAAAGCTACAAAGTACAGGAAGTTTAGGGGGCCATGATCGCCCATATATTGAAGGGTTACGGCATATAGAAGAAGAATAAAGAGAGTAAGTAGAAAGAAAAGCACACTAACAAAGACGTAGTGGGATACTAATATAATAAGTCTAGTATCCCCACCATAAAGTCAAGGCCAAGAATTGGGATGGCCAAGGACACATCCCAAAAGCTGGGCAGAGTACTGCGAAACAGGAGGATTTCTTGGTAACAAAGAAAGGAAAACTGAACTGTTATATGACATATGTCCTTCTTTACGGCAGCGAAATGTTGAACGATTTCTTCAAAGATGAAGAAGAGACTTGATGCGATAGAGATGTGGTTCTACAGATGGATTTTAATGAATATTAGGGACGGAGCGTGTGAGCAACAATGAGGTCTTAGAGAGCTTTCAAACAAGGAGGAGGCTTATACTTACTATCAGGAAGAGGCAGCTGAAGTTTCTGGGACATATAATGAGGAAGGAGGGCCTGGAGAATCTGATACTCATGGGTCGAATAGAGGGAAAGAGAGACAAGGAAAAACAACGTGTGATATACCTGGCGGACTTAAGCAAGTGAATGACAGAACGTGTTCTGAGAGGGAAGGAACTTGTTGAGGGCTGCAAGGGATAGAAGGAGGTGGAGAGCCATGATCGCCTACGTCCTGGAATGATATGGAACTTAAAAAGATACCCACCATGACTTCCATATCGATAGGCCGGATAGGTTACTATAACCACTGTTTTACAAAACCCGCGTGCCACTCGAGGTAGAGGGTTATGTCAAAGGGGGTAATTTACACGGATAGGAGGGGAAGATAACCGTTAACTCTGGACTTGAAGATTGTAGTGATCGGGAAATCATCCTCTTGGGAATCGGTTCCACAAAGCAGCGTTTCGCGTGAAGAAGCTTCTCGAGTGGAGCTTGCCAATGGAATGCGCAGAGTATGTTCGTCGATTGCTGCAATGTATGCGGCATGACGGGTCCTAGCCGTGAACCAAGGAATGCTTAGATTTTTTTTAGAGCAGTTCACCCCAAGCAATGCGGGAGTGCCACTAGCACGCAAGGGGTTACAGAGGATTGAGAACAAGAGTAAAGAGGTGGGTTTGAGGAAAGGATACAGAGAAGGACGGGGAACAAGCTCAGGGTGTCAGATGTTGATTGACATTACACTTGAATATTTGAAGATTATAGTCATCTTCGAAGCAAGTAAGAGGAAGGGAGTTCCATAGACGGGAAGTGTGGGAGAAGAAACTATGTGAGAAGAATAGACGGATACATTTAACCGTTTTGACAGTGAAAAAGTGGGAACGAGATGCTAGTCATGCAATCTGGGAACCAGCGAAAGTGGCTTGTCGGGACAGTAGCCGTGAAAATACTTGTAGAAGAGACAGAGAGATGCCACGGCATGTGTGTGGGATAGCGATTGTAGACTAGATGATAGATCAGGATCTATCATCTTGCATATTCCTCTCCGGATTTTCGAGACGTACAGCGTGAGCACCAGTCCATATATGACAGCAATATTCCATGCAAGGACGGGCGGTTGATTTATAGATTTAAAGGATGGATTCAGATGAGAAAAACTTTCTGGCACGACACAGAAAACCGACTTTCCTTGCAGTAGATGAAGCTACTGATTCAATGTATTTATTTCACCTCATATCAGTGGACAGAGTGAGACCAGGCAGGCGTAACTATGCATTCTCGAGGAGTTGGGAATCAGCGATTCTGAGGGGAGGTAGGAAGTGTTCTCTGTATGGATAAAGGAGATATGATACAAAGCCGAATGTAGGGGACACCCAGAATTTACTACTCAGTTGCAATTGTTCTAGCGAGATCTGCTCGCTAACCATTACACCACAACGAGGTGCCCCCGTGAACGAAGGAAAGTGGTTGATCCCGCCTGTGAGAGAGAGGTTGGAGGGTGGAGAATAATTCGTCACACACAACGTCACGAAGACGCTTTTGAACCCTATCAAGACTAGAATGTGAGTATTATGCAGCTCATAATATATATATATATATATATATATATATATATATATATATATATATATGTGTGTGTGTGTGTGTGTGTGTGTGTGCGATACGGTGGCAGGATTTATTTAAAAGCAAAACATAACGTTGTCGAGAGAAATACATTCAGGTTACGTAGCCAAGTTCACTCGGTCGGTTATTCACTGAAAGTGTTTCCAATTACCTAGACATGACAGTCAATTCACCTTGTCTGATTCATCCTCTCGATACCCGGACACGATGATACTACTTCCGATAATGAACTCAGAGATAAAGCACATCATCCCTTAGGGAACACGCGCAAAGGTCAGGCGGTTGATAAGCCGATCTGTGATAGAAAAACGGGCTATTTATTGTAGCCCTTTTAAATTCCCCAGGACAAAACATGTACATGTTAACACCCCCAATCATCGAAGATCAGAAGCCATGAGAGCCATACCTGGTGTAATATCTTAGCATTTATTATTATTATTATTATTATTATTGTTAATATTTTTTACACTGATAGTCACCCTGTACAAGGCAAGAGAGACATTCGTAGAGGGTTACGGAGTAAGGGAAAGTTTATAGGGATATATGAGGAAAATAACTGTTGACCCGAGATTTGAACAAGTTAAGATTCTAGTGATCGGGGAAGCTTCACCTTGGAAGTCGGTTCCACAAACCAGCAGTTCGTGAGAAAAAGCTGCTCGAGTGGAACTTACATCTCACCCACGATGGTTGAAGGGAACAATGTTGGTTCATTACAAGGTGCGTAACATTGCGAGTTATAACCTTGAGGGTTAGAACTGCTGAAACTAAGGAATGTAGTCCGTCTGAGCAGTTTCCATAGTAATACCGATGGAACAGCAAGAGGCTTGCGACGTTTCTTCTCTGAGAAAGAGTTTATTGGGTGGAAACAAATATGTCACACTCAAGGACGCGGGGATATTTTGGGATTCTACCGATAATAACTAATCTCTGAATTTTAATGTTGCTTTTTTTTTCAACTGAAATATCCAACACATAAACCCTTTTGCGGTTATTTAAAGCCAGAATATGTTCTTAGATTCAAAGAATTTGGGGGATGGAGAAAGAGATTATAATATTTTAGTGATACAATTCTAACTGATTTACCCATAGCTGGAGGAGAAGAGGTGGATTCATAGCTTTCCCAAGGGTATTAGCTTGGAAGTGAATATAACAGACCCAACGGGAATTCGAACTCGACTCTCCGATTCTGACTCATCGTCCATTACACCAGCCGCACATCCAAGCATACAGCACTTGCTCTTCCCACGCGGTCACCTATTAAGTTACTGACAAAGCACAACGTTGTTTAGCATCGGTGATCGTACGGGAACCGGTGTTTTAACGGGATCTGGCCGTAAGCCTGGCGTCATAACGAAAAACAGCGAGAAAAAGAGAAAGAAAGAGAAAAAGAAATGAAAGAATGAAAGAGAGAAAGAAATAGGGAAAAATAGAGAAAGAAAGAAAGAAAGAAAGAAAGAATTAGAAAAAAGAAGAAAGAAAGACAGAAAATAAGAGAAAGATGGAAAGAAAGAAAGATAAAGAAACAATGAGCAATCTATATGAGAAACTTGTGCAGATGGATCATGAATCAGGGAATAGGAATTAAAAGAAAAATAAACATAACTTTTTTAACATTTTTTTTCAGTACTGATTTTAATTATTAATAAAAAAACCACCTTTAAATTGCTTGGTTGTGTCTATGTTTGTCTCTCTCTCTCTCTCTCTCTTTCTATATATATATATATATATATATACTTGCATCATATTAATACAGACTTAATATTTAGTGTGTATGAGTAGACATTCCTGAGAGTCGTTCGAAAGATAATGTGCTTCCTGACTGGAATCCAACGTGTATTGGGTTTTCAATCAGGGAAGGATTTTTAGCTAAGTGTGCCTTATCATTAGGCTGCGGGAAGCCATAACAAAAATAGATTATTTAATTTCCCTATTGAAGAGAAGCACGGTTTCATTGGAACATTTTGAATTTATATGTGCTTACTTTATTTTTCTACTCAAAATTTGTATATATATATATATATATATATATATATATATATATATATATATATATATATATATATATGTGTGTGTGTGTGTGCTTTGGTGGGTGGTTGGTTGGTTGTTGTTTTGCGTTTCTCTGAAGTTTGTGTATATGTGTGTATATATCTGTATATATATGTGTATGTAGATATAGTGAGTGAGCTGATGAAACTAGATAGACAGATATAGATAGGTAGCTGTGAACATATATATGAACACAGATAGATATGAACATAGTCAAACAGATAGATATGAATACACACACACATACACACACACATATATATATGTATATATATATATATATATATATATAGATAGATAGATAGATAGATAGATAGATAGATACGAACCTAGGCAGATAAATTGACTGATAGATATAGGTATGAACATAGATAGATAGATAGATAGATAGATAGATAGATAGATAGATAGATAGATAAATCCATACATCCATACATACATACATACATACATACATACATACATACATACATACATACTCAGATAGATACGAACATGGACAGAGAAATAGATAAACATATAGATAGATGATAGATGAACAGAATATCTATAAATCTATCTATCTATAAATAGATATGAACTGGATAATAGATAGATACCAAAAACGCCAGCTAAATAGACAGATAGATATAGACATAGATAGAAATAAAGTGAGATAGATAGATAGATAGATAGATAGATAGATAGATAGATAGATAGATACATACGAATAGAGATAGATAGATAGATAGATAGATAGATAGATAGATAGATAGATAGATATAACAAGTTTAATTAATTTCAAATTTTTATTATATTTTTTCAATTTCTTCTCAGACATCCGGATCAGATTTGTTGCGAATTCGATCCGGATGTATGTCAACTCATTCGTAAATTTGAAAATTATATTAAAGAAACTGATCTTTGCTGAACTTTTATTAAAACTTGTTTGATTGTTTGATTAAATCTGGTTTGGTCGGAAGAAAACTTTTTAGGGTTCTTCAAGTGAATTCCAATGAAAATATTCAGATACTTATATCATAGATATATTCCATCACATACGTTTCCGTGTGTCCCACCACTTTTCCTCATTTTTAAATCAGCTTCAGCATTTCATCATCCAAGAAATTGCAATCATTCTACTGAACAATGTTATTTTTAAATGCTTCCAGATAGTTGAATTTCTTTCAGTTTCTTTCAGTTTTATAGGAAGGTCGAAGTTCACTTGAGAACGGTGGGTGTAATCTGAGAAAAGCTGTACCTGTTTCTCTTGGATTTGTCAAAAGACGGCAGGTCTGGCGTAATCCTGATGGATGAATTCACCCATCCGATTGGACAATTCAACATCGTGTTCCGCCCATTGATACGTTCAGTCGGTTCTCTCGTGAACAGTACTATCCTTAAATCAACATCTGATTTTATGGACGTGGCTCGTAAGACATATCACACTTCCAATCCCAGCAGATACGCACCATCAATTTCTTCGGACAGGTCAGCGTTTTTTTCTTCTTTCGATCCTTCTTGCATCACATTGTTGTAAATAATCTATTATTTATCGTCTGTGTTCGTTCTTTTCAAAAGGTGCCGTTGCATTTCATGCAAACAAAGAATGGAAATGAGGGATAATATTTTTCCGTTGAATAGTGTGGCACGTAAATACCGTAGCGGTTCAATTATACGTGTCTTTTGAAATGACTTCCAACTTTCCAATTAGATACGTGGAGTATTACTGCAATATCCTGTGTGATATATATATATATATATATATATATATATATATATATATATATATATATATATATATATATATATATTAGGCATCGTTTTGACTGTCCTGGGTATGACTATAAATTACATCCGCGTCCTGGGTAAGACGATGAACTATGTCCAGCAGCAAGGCCTCTGATCAGGAGGTTTTGAGGAGCGTGGAGCCACCTCTTAATTGCTGGTGTTCCCAGATCCACCCCTGGCCCGGGGTGGTAGCACCTGTTAGGGTCCTAACTTTGGGCAAATAGTTAACATCTAAACTTGTGTAAAAATAGTTTTTAACACTAGAAAACAGAAATAGAAAAAAAATTATTACCGGCAATAATTTTTGAAGGAAAAATTATTATCAGAAATACTTTAAAAAAAATACCAGCAATACAAACAGCTATATATTCTTTGGGAAAAATATGACCAGATATAGAATTTACTACTTAGGGAATCAAGTCTCAGAGCAAGACGGTGTTTTCTTGGACTCAGAGGGAAACGCGGCAAACGAAAATCCAGCCGCACCAATTGGATTGGTGCAGAATTATCAGCCATTTTTGTAGGCGAGTTATTTGTAAATAAAATTTGCTGTTTTATTTACTTTTTTAATAAAAAATATAATTTTATTTTCAGGTTATAAAAATGTGTGTCGATAATCATACGCTCCGGAATAATCATTTAAAAATGTTATTGTTGAATTTTTATGTTTCTTTTTTCATAATAAATATTTTTAAAAAACGCCTGATAATTATGCACCAACCCAATAAAAATAGACTATATACTCCTCGACTTGGTCAGAAAGGAGAACAATCTACCGCCATAGATTGAATAAAGTGTTCAATTCGAAATTTCATGAAGGTTACTTAAATCGTGAAGAATCGAATGAAGACCGGAAGTCACAACGGCTGAAACCTTATGTAAATGATAACTTCACATCCCAAATATTCAGAAATAAATTACATAGACAATATAGACTAAACGATAACGTTGTTTACTTTTGATAAATCGTCAGAGAAAAAATAATTGAACTATTTCTTTTAGCAATAAACTCTGAATTCTCGTGACCAAATAGGGTAGTAGATTTTTTCCGTGGGTTTAGCTAGGGCAAAACAGCACCCATCTCTTATCAGACAGGTATTCTTATGTATCTGTCTAGATTTCTGAGATTAGGTATTATGTACATTATTTACATTATTCGGACTATTGTCCTCATCTTTGTCGCCATATTGATTATAACGTTTCGGCCGTTGTACGCTCTGGCCTTCTTCTTGGCGACAAAGATAAGGACAATATACCGAATAATGTAAATATGGTAGTCTTATGTAACTTCTAAACACGTTACCAATCGAAGCTGGAGAAGCCAGTGTGTTCTACTTAACGGATAGCTGTGGAAGAAAAGAAGCATTTTTATTTCCCTTTTCTTTTCATAAGGATATTTGTGAAAAACAGAACAGAAAAGAATAGCACCGAGTTTAAATATCCATTAAACTAACCACACATCCGTACTAACGTAGTAAAGTCCATTTAATCCAAAGAAAATGGAATTAGGAATATGAAACGCGAACGCAATGGACGCTGGATTCAGAATTCAGACAGGGATAAAAGATGATAGGTTATCGATATGGCTCAAAAGAGGACATCTTAGGCGGAATAAAGTATTTTTGCCGACGACTGATCAGTAGGTATTAACTCGGATGATACTGAAGACGACAAATCAAATCAAAGCCAGAGATCCACACTATTTTCAGTGACGTATGTGATTGGAAAGTGACTAACAGTGACAAATTTGCTCAATCAATATACAAAAATCATTGGGAAAAAAGCCATTCGATTTGGTAGGCAGTAAGACAAAAGACTTTGCAAAAATTTTAATTCGAAGTTTTCTTCGTATTAAAATTTTGCAAGGTCTTTTGTCTTATGAATCAAATGATATTAACGCATACATTACTTTTTAAATATATATATATATATATATATATATATATATATATATATATATATATATATATATATATATATTTGGTTGGATTGATTTGAGTTTGTGACCCTGGGTTTCACGCTTTTGCGATCGTCAGTCAAACTGATTAATTTTTTTAAAATTTTGGGTTTATGTAGATTGCGTGTATTGGTGTTATTATGAGAATGGGGGGGGGATCTCAATCTACATAAACTCAACATTTTTAAAAAAATTAATCAGTTTGACTGACGATCGCAAAAGCGTGAAAAACCAGGCTCACAAACTCACATCAATTCAACCAAATATGTTAGCTCTAGATTTTGTATTTCCATGTAGTCATTTAAAGTCATTTCTTCAAAAGTATCACTGCTGTTTTCTAAGTTGGACTAGACTGGAAGCTCAATTAGCCCGACGCAGGAGCTGGCTTATAAGTCCGAACGGAGTGATGCTTTTAAGTTAATATATGATAAGTCGTGATATGAAAAAGGCAAATTTAGCAATAGCGACTTTCCTTAGGGGCTAGAACACTCAAAGCAAAATCTTATCTAATATATCATTTGGAAAACATTTTATTTGTGAAAACGCTTATACGATTCAACGAT